AAATAAACAATAAACCTAATTACCCCCCCAAATCAAAGTTTTTTAAAAAATGGCAAGTTCAGACTTGGACTCTGGACCCAAAGTGCCTGGGTTCCTACTGGGTTCCTATCCTGTCTCTATGACTTATCGACTCTGAGACCTTGGGCAAGTGACTTAACTTCTCTGTGCCTCAGTGTCACCATCTGTAAAATGGGATTAGTAATATGACTACTATCTCCTAAGGTTATTATGAGGATTAAATGGCTTCATAAATGTAAAAAAGACAGCCTGGCACTTGGTAAATATGATAAATGCTTTCAATATTCTGAGAAACCTAGGTGCCTAACTTTGGTGAAGTCCATCATCTCTAGTCTGTTTGACAGACAATCATGCAGCTCTTAAAGTTGACAGTTTTGAAATCAGCCATCTAGAGAGCTTATATAACTTGTCTGAAAAGGAGGGTAGGAAATTCTATGAATACTATGATTATAAGTATGTAAAAAAAAACGTACATATTAAAACTAGAAGATGAAGGACATTCTGACACCGGCTACCACGTGGATGAACCTTAAAGACACAGAAAATGTCACAAAAGGAGAAACACTCTGATTTCTGTGAGGTCCCTAGAGCAGTCAAATTCATCGAGACAGAAAGTGGACGGTGGTTGCCAGGGGCTGGGCTGCAGGGACGGGGAGTGAGTGCTGAATGGGGGCAGAGTTTTGCAAGATGAAAAGGGTTGTGGGGATGGATGGTGGTGATGGCTGCACAACAGTGTGGACGCCCCTAAAGCGATTGAACTGTGTGCTTAAAAATGCTTAGGGTGGTAAATTTTATATGTATATTATCACAGAAAATACATGTATAAGATGATCATCAGGGTAAGAGAGTACCTAATGTGTGTTTTTTTGTTTCTAATCGGGACGTAAAAATAAGTTAAAGCAGGGGTAAAAATAATTTAAAACAACAAATAATAATGTTGATAAATATTTATCAGTATTTAAAAATAATGATAAGCTGTGCTGTTTCCGTTCGGTCACGAGGATTTTTTCCTTAGGATTCCTACGCCAGCTATGACGTCAATGGAAACGATTACGACCCGTCTCCTCGCTATGATGCCAGCAATGAGAATAAGTATGTTGCTCTGACAGCTTGTCACATTGTCCCTTGGCTCCTTCCTGCCTCCCATCCCCTCCCCCTGCAGAGTCGCTGTTGACCTGCCCACAGTCGGGCCCCTGGAAAGTGATGGGGCTGCCTGGCTGTGGGGGGCTCACCCGGGACCCGGCCCTGCACAGCCCTTCAGGCATAAGGCAGCCTCTGTGGGTTTGGCCACCTCCGGGGGGTGTCACCGAGGCTGGTCCACCAGCCACGGATGTGTGAGCAGCATGGTTCCTCTGTGCTGCGTTGTCGGAATATTTTAAAAGAATAACCCTCATAAACACAAAGGCTCGATCTAATAGTCTGACAAGCTGCGTATGTGTGTTCAGTCACTCCTCTGATTGGTTATCGGGCAGGCAGGCAGTGCTGTAAAATGTAGGAATTTTAAAGTTTGTGGTTTGGAATTAGAGGGTTTGGCTTTGAATCCATGCTCCTCTGGCTAGAGCTTCAGTGATCTTTGACTAGGAACGTAACTTCTTTTTTCACACTCAGTTTTTTTAATTTCTCAAGTCAGGATAATTACTTTCCTCTCAATGGGTTTTGTGGAAAGTAAAAATTAAATGTTGCGCTCATGCTTAGCACGGTACCATCAATAAATAGGTTTTTGTTGTTAAGAAAAGAGAAAGAATAGCCCTTCACTCTAGCGGTCGCCCTGGCCAGCCAGCTGTGTTAAGAAGCATTTTGGTCTGTTGAGGCACACGGGTCACCTGCCTGAGCCTTTGTGACTCTGTCTGTGACCTTCTGAGGGAGGTGGGGTGATGTTGGCTAAACCTGGACTCAAATTTCAGCTCTACTGGTCCTGGCTGTGTGGCTGGCTCTGTGCATGTGGGGTGACCTTGTCGAGTCTCTGTGTCTTAGAGACCTTTCTGCGGCCTGATGCTATGGGAGGGGTGAGATGACAGGTGATGGACACCCGCTGTGGGTGTTCAGTCAAAGATGGTTTTTATCATCACTTTGCCGATGAAGGCGGTGGTGTCTGGAGAGGTCTGGTGACTTGGAGGCTGTGAACTGCAGCTCTGGGTTTGGAGCTCCATGTCCCAAGCCTGGTCCTGGGGCTTCGTTCCCTTGTCCTGCTGGTCCTTTTTCTGTCAGTCCACCCGGGCCCCCAGCTCCTCCCACACTTCCAAAAATGTTTACAGGAAAAGAACAAAAACCCTTTCTTTCTTCCTCACTGTTGACATGATGTCTGCCAAGGTGTGTCTCTCTCCACGGTATTTCAGTTTTCGGTTGATTTGATTCTGAGTCTCAAATACTGGTGCCCACGGGGTGTGGTGCATGGGTCTCGGCCGGCCATGTGGTCCGCACACACAACAGACAGCAGGGCCCGTCGGGTGCCTGCGGAGGCCCAGCCCTGGGGCTGCTCTCCTAGTTCAGCAGCAAGCATCCTGGGGTGCAGGCGCCCCATCCTCAGCCCTGAGTCCAGGGCAGGGAGGAATCCTGCAGACAGCAGCTGGCAGCAACCCACAAAGGGCAGGATTGAATCCGAGTGGGACGTTGGGCTCAGGACTTGTGAAAGCCCCTGCTGTGGGGCTGCAAGCGGTAAAGACAGACCTAGGGCTATTTTTAAAGGTGGTTTTAAATTGGAATCAGGGGGAAGGTATAGCTCAGTGGTAGAGTGCATGCTTAGCATGCATGAGGTCCTAGGTTCAATCCCCAGTACCTCCATTAAAAATGAATAAGTAAAATAGTTAAATAATAAACCTAATTACCTCCTCCCTCCCCCAAATAATAAACCTAATTACCTCTTCCCTCCCCCAAATTTTTATTTTGAGTCAATGTTTCTAATCCCCCAGGGACTCTCTCAGACATGGGCTGTTTAAACCTGCCCACGTTTTGGCCTCTGCTGGAGGGATTGACCCAATGCAGCACGTTGAAAAATGGGGTCATGACTGAGGCTAAGCAGTTTGTTTTTCTGGAAATCTCTTCCCAGTCCCTCTGCTGCCCGTGAGTGTTCCATTGAGGGCGGTCTTCCTCTGCTCCTGCTTATGTGGACGTGGAAGGGGTGAGAGGGCTGCCCCGAGGTGGGAGGTACACAGGGGACCAGACTGAAGCACTCATCTGTGCTGTTGTTGTCTTTTTAGGTGTGATTATAATGTTATATATAAATGTATTTTATTGAAGTATAGTCAGTTACAATGTGTCAGTTTCTGGTGCACAGCACAATGTCCCAGTCATGCATATACATACATATAGTCTTCATTGTATTCTTTTTCATGAAAGGTTATTACAAGATACTGAATATAGGAGTGAAGGGTGTAGCTCAGTGGTAGAGCATGTTCTTGCCATGCACGAGGTCCTGGGTTCATTCCCCAGTACCTCTGCTAAATAAATAAATAAATACAGCTAATTACCTCCTCTCTACCCCCCCAAAAGAAAAAAGATACTGAATATAGTTCCCTGTGCCATATAGAAGAAATTTGGTTTTTTAAAATCTATTTTTATATATAGTGGTTATCATTTGCAAATCTCCAGAAGGAGAAAGAAAAGTATCATTTGTTCTTCCTTCGGGCTTGTCACCCAGGTGGGTGTCCATGTTGCACCTGGACATACCAAGCAAGGTGTCGTCATCACAGGGAAGCAGGGTGGGTGGGAGCCCCTCCCAACATGGGAGTGTGGCAAGAGACCTCCCTGTGCGGTGGAGCCGGCGGGACTGCCCAGGGCTGTGCAAAGCCCAGCCTGATGCTCCCCCCCACCCCCTGGAGTGGGCGGTCGGAGGAAGGGTGGTGATGAGAGAGGGTGCAGGAACAGGGCTCAGGGATAACGGACTCTCCTTGCGTGAGAACTCAGCGGTACCCTGAATCCACTAGGAGGCGCTGTCCTGAGTCCTGACTTGGTTTTCTCCTTTGCCTCAGACATGGTACTCGATGTGCAGGAGAGGTCGCAGCCTCGGCCAACAACTCTTACTGCATCGTGGGCGTGGCGTACAATGCCAAAATCGGAGGTAAGGTCCAGGAGCACGCAGCTGGGAGCTTTGGGCTGGGGCGGGGGAGCCGGAAGCATCTTTCTCTGCAGGTCTCAGCAGCTTCCCCTCCATTGGCCTTGGGGGTCAAGTCAGACCCCCTGGGCCTGGCCTCATGCTGGGACGGCAGCCAGCACAGCGATGGGGCCTCAGGGGCAGAGGCATTACTCACTGCTTTGCCTGAAAAGCCTTCATGGGTCCTGCTAGTCTGGCTCCAGACTCACACCAACAAGCAGACCCCTCCTCCTCATGGACCACATGGGTCCCCTTCTGCTGCCCACCCTGTGTGGGCTCCCTGTCACTTTCCTCACAGGGTTTACCATCCTTACTTGGGATTGAGACCTTTCCTTCGGCTCCAGCTGCAGGCCCACTTCTGCCGCTGCCCTCCAGCTTTTAGCCAGAGGACATTTGTCCTTGTGTCCTCCAGACATGCCTGGTCTCCCCTATTTATGACTGTGTTTATGCCTCTCCCCGCCTGTTTTAAAAAAATATTCTTTTTTTTAAATGGAAGTACTGGGGATTGAACCCAGAACCTTGTACATGCTAAGCATGCACTCTACCACTGAGCTATTTCCCTCCCCCCCCTCTATTCAGCTCAGTTCACCCTTGACTTATGGCCACTCACGCCCGCTGTGCTTCAAGGAGGACTCCCCAAATCCAGCTACTCCCCCTTACCCCTCCACCTTGTTCACCTGGGAGGCCAGCCTTCCAGGTCCCTAGAAGGAGCACGGCCTGACCCTGGGTATCCCTGGTGACATTGTTTGGTTTCTCCATTTGGGAGTCAAGCTTTCCTTGTTGGGTGGAGTTTTAGAACAAAGAGTCACGTGTCTTTCTCACCATCCCCCACCCCCAACCCTTAGGCCTGGCAGGTTGACAACTCGAACTGGCAGACAGTCAGAGAATGGCATGAATGGGCCTCAGCATCCAGATAGCTTTGGGGCACTGCCGTCCTCACCCGAGGCCCTGGCTCTCTGTTTGGAGGTGGCCATACTCTCTGTGGTGGCTGGGCTGAGATGCCACCTTCTCAGGGCATGACCTTGTCTGCTGCTTTGCCTTTGAGGCAGTGCTGGACTCCCTCAGCTCCCCGGGGAGCGGATCTAGGTGGGGAAGTTGGGTCAGAGGTTCTCTGGATCACCCAGCCCTTGAGAAGCTTCTTCAGTTTTGCAAACAGGATCCCCAGCTTTTACCTAATTGGACTCTCTGCCTGCCCTTTTCCTTGGCAATCTTTGAAGTGGCTGGGATTTGTCATTCTGTGACAGTATTAACTACCAAGGGTGTGTCCTGCTGAGCAGGTCAGGAGGCTGTCACTTGGCCTAACTCCTCTGTGGATGGTTCTTTTAGGTTGAGCTGTGTAAGTTCTCCTTGGAGCTTTTGATGAGTGAAAACCCACGAGAAGTCTCCCTAGAGGACCTGGGTACCAATTCCATCCCCACCACCCACTGGCTGTGTGCCCTTGGACAATGGGTATAGCCTCTCTGTGCCTAGGTTCTGAAACCTGTGGGGGAGGAACAGCAGTAATGCAGCTGCCTCCTCAGATTTGTTGACATTAAGTCCAATGCCAAGTATGAAAGCAATGGCTCGGGGCTGAGTCTGCAGGGAGCCTCTGAGAAACTCCATCCCTCCTGCTGAAACTCTCAGAAGGAGAATAATGATTTGTGTTGCTTTGAGTGAGGGGCTGACCCCATCTTTGAGGTGATCTGAGCCTTGCTCTCCAAAGTCCCTAGACCAGCATCTTTGACATCGTCTAGGAGCTCTTAGAATCCAAGCCCCCACTGCTGACCTACTGAGCCAGAATCCACCTTGTCACAAGATCCCCAGAGGGTGTGACAATAGCAGTTTGAGAAGTGCTGGTTTAGTGGGCTCTGGAGTCAGATAGGTAGGTCACACCTCCACTGTGTCCTGTGATGAGCGGTCAGTGAAGTAACAAAGACTAAGAACCTACAGAGAAGTGGATGGTGTGCGCTCCCTAGATGTGCTCTGCCCTCGTTGCGAAGTTGTGTACCCAAGTGTCCCAAATTCCAGAGAGAGCACCCCTCCTGCTGGGGCTGGGGAACAGGAATATTTTTTAATTAATACATTTAATATTTTGGAGCATCCCTGCATGTGTGGTACTGTGCTAGCCACCAAGGGAAAGAATGAAGGGGTGGCAGGCACAATTTGGGACCTCCAGGAGCTCATCATGTCTTTAGGGTGAACAGTGCCGACACGGAAGACGGTACAGGACCAAGTACTGAAATGACAGGGCGGAAAGGGAGCCTCAGGAGGGGCAGGGTCAGTGCTCAGGGAGGGAAGAAGATGAAGGTGCAACATGACGTCGACAGGGGAGGGTGTGTCTGGGAGAGGAGGGAGCACTGAGGAAACAGTAGGATCTGCAGCATGGAGCCTGCCGCACAGGGAGAGGAACACAGGGCAGGGCTGGGTGTGGAGAGACACATGTGAGGTTGAGATGGGCATTGACTCAGGGAACCCATGACAGCCATGTCCCCAGAGTTGCTGTACAGCTTCAGGTGCTCCCCGCAGGCAGTCATGCCTTCTGCCCACCTCTCCATCCAAGCCCACCACAGACGGGCAAACTTCAGGCACTCCTAGTGTTGACTCCCTCTCCAAGTGCCGGCACACAGCAGGAATTTTTCTGAGATGTCCCTAGAGCTGACCATTAGCTGTACTTTTATGTCTTTTTTAAAAAACTGTTGCTCAGGAGATTAAAATGTATATCCTAACTTATTCCAGCCTATGTGGAATTACTGTTATACCACTTTGTGAATAATATATGAACCTAAGGCAGATTATTTGAATTCATGCTCCCTGTCATCCCTTGTGCCATTGTTTTTAATGTTTTACTTTATATTTTATAACCTCGACTTGAAAACACTTATGAAATATACTTGCCTCTGTATTTACCATTCTCAGTGCTTTCCCTGACTTTCTAGCTCCAGATTTCTATCTGGTTTCCGTTTTTCTGCAACCTGACAATTTCTTTTAGTATTTCTTGAAGTGCAGGTATGCTGTTGAGAAATCATCTCAGCTTTATCTGAAATTGATCTAAATTTCTTCTTCATTTTTGAAAGAAGTTTTGCTGAACATAGAATTCTAGGGTGACAAGTTTTCTTTCAACCTTTTAAAGATGTTGTTCCATCATCTCCTGGCACCCGTTGTTTCTGATGGTGAGTTCGTTGTCATCCTTATTGGTGTTCACCTTCATGTAATGTGATTTGTTCCTCTGGCTACTTTTATAATTTTTCTTTTCTATCTGTACTTTAGTTGTGACTGTAATTTTCTTCATCTTTATTCACCTTGGAGGTCTGCTGTGCTTTCTAGTGGATTGTTTTTTCTTTTTCCCTAAATCAGATTTGAAGAAATGTCTGTCAATTCCTTAAATATGTTTTGCAGTCCTGTTTTCCCTCTCCTTTCTTTGGGCACCAATTCGAGGTGTTAGATTATTTGATCTTCTCACAGTTTGAGACTGTGTTCATTTTTTAAAATACTTTTTTCTCTGCTTCAAATTTGATGATTTCTTTTGCATTGTCTTCAGGTTCACTAATCCTTTCTTTTGTTGTGTCAAATGTGTTGTTGATCCTATCCAATGAATTTTTGCTTCTTTCTTTCTTTTCTTTCTTTCTCTCTCTTTCTTTCTTTTTTTCCTTTTTCACTCAAATATTGTGCTTTTCTGTTCTATGATATCTATTTTGACTCTTGCTCTCTCTCTTTTTACTGTTTCCAAACCTTTCCTGAGATTCCCCTTCTTTTCACCTATTATAACTATATTTTATTTTAGACTCTTTATCATATTTATGAGTTATTTTACAATTTTTTGTACTAATTCCAATAGCTAGGTCATTTGTGAGTATGTTTCTAATAACTCAGTTTTCTTTTTACAATGTGTCACATATTCCTGTTTCTTTGCACATGTCTAGTAATTTTTTTGTACGCTAGACATTGTTATGCTACATTGTAGGGACTCTGGATTCTGTTATGTTTGAATACTGCTGAGTTTTGTTCTGACAGTCAGTTCAGTTTGAACTTATGAAGGCTTGATTTTTCTTTTTTTTTTAATGATTGATTTCTTTCTGATTTGCCCTTAGCCTTAGAGAAAATCCTTTAGCTCAAACACATAATCCTTACTCTTACATAGTGTGACCCTTCTGGTATTTCAGTGGAAAGACTGAAGTGTTTACCAGCACCTTTCACTTGCAAGATTCAAACTCCAAATTGCCTCCCCTGTGATGAGCAGCAGCTGAAATATCTGCTCAGCTCAGTTGAGACTCTTGTATTCTTTTCTTCCTGTACTTCTTAGAGACTTGTCCAAACATGTTTAATTCAGGAGTTAGTCAAGTGTTTGAGGGAAATTTATGCATATCCTCTTATGAGGCTCTTTCTCTTCTAGGATTTCGAGAAAGGTTTCTTCTGGGTTTCAGTCCCAAACCAATCTCATGACTCCCCAGGAAAATAAAATTGTGTTTTCCTGATTGAGTTCTAGCTTCTCTGCATCAAAAGAAATGGAGAGTTCCCTTAGAGAAAAAATCATATAAACTTGAATCAAACCCAGTATGATTTCTCTTTTACGAACTGAATCCCCTGCCTGCCTCTGCCTTCTTCTAGTTGCGTTCCCATGCCCTTAAAAGTTGGCTTTTTCTTAAATAAATATTTTGTCCAGAGTTTATAATTACTATTTTCAGAAGAGTTAGTGTGATAAAAGCTGCTCTGCCATTATTAGAACTAAAACTTGTGGTTTCTATTTATTTACCAAATACATGAGGTATTAGATGCATGACAGTTACTTCAAGATGTAGCTGCTTACAACAGTAAACATTTGTTATCTAACACATTTCTTTAGAAATGAATCCAATGGACAGTCAAGGAGAGAGAAGTTAGGCTACACCTTTTGAATGGAAAAGTGTCAAAGATTTGTGGATATGATTTAAAGTCACCACAAATGGGCTCCTAAAAATTTGACTACATACTCATGCAAATGGAGTAGTCTT